CCCAACCAGTCCGTACAAGGGTTTCTATTCCACATCAGTCTTCCCCAACTCCTTACTCCCTCCCATACCCTTCTCTTCGTTTTTCCCACAAAATATAGTGAAGTCACTTTACAGTATAGTCTGTGACGCGCTTTGAGACATCTCGAAGACGTGATAAGGCGTCAATATCAAACACAAGGCTTATTATTATTATTCTCTCTTACGAAGGTCTAGTTTCCTCTTGGAAGCACCTACACTGACTTGCTTCAGGCAGCGAGATCCACCACCTCCTCACCCTCTGCACGAAGTAGTTCTTCCTAAATTCTCTATCGGAATCCCCGAGTTCTCCGTCTTCTACCTGTGTCGAGGCTCTGACGATACATCGATACATATCACCGTGCGACGAGCTCCACTGCCGTCGCTCGCTTACTCCCGGAGTTTGATGAGCCCGCGGAGCCGGCCCCAAGGCAGAGCGAGGACGGTCTTGATCTCGGCTCGGAAGCGCGCCTGGGTCACGGCGTAGACACACGTGTTGGTGCAGCAGTTGAGGAGCAGAAGCATGTAGCCGGTCTCTCTGGCGATGTACAGTGGGTCGCTGGGCCCGGAGTGGGAGCGGGAGCCCGTGGCCCTCCAGTACAGGAAATACATCACGTAACTTGACCACAACAGGATGAAGGTGCCAGATATCCCGAAAAGCACCACGATCGACCTCCTGCGGTTCTCCAGCTCCGGGTCAACTCCGCACCGCTCTCCCAGCTTGCCCGCCCTCAGCGCCCGGCGCACCCGACTGCTCCGCACAATGTGCCTGACCGTCAGAGCGTTGAGGAGGAGAACGAGCACAAACGGCAGCAACGGAGTCAAAATGCGCTGGAGCCAGGAAAAGGCAGTCCAGGCCAGAGACGTGTAGTAACTGGGCTTCGTTCTACAGAACCAGGGCACCCGGTTAACCGTGAAGGAGGGCTCGTATTTGAAGCAGCGAGGGATGTTTTGTAGAGTGAGGAACAGGCAGACGATGGCTATGACCACAGCTGCGGTCTGCTCCGTGCAGCAAACGACTTTGAGCCTCTGGTAGCAGATGGCCACAGTGCGGTCCAAGGTGAAGGCGACGGTGAGCCAGACCGAGCTGTGCCGGGTCGAGTAGAGCACGTAGGCTCTGAGCTTGCAGACGGGTGTCAGGCTCAGGAAAGTGGCCGGGAAATAGAGGCCAGCGATGCGGTAAAGGATGACATCCGTGAAGACAACCAGGAGGTCGGCAACTGCCATGGACAGCAGGTAGCGAGTGACTGACCTCGAGAGACCACACTCCCCCCGGATCAAGATCACGATAGTCAGAGAGTTCACTGGAGGGAGAGAGACAGAGAGAGAGAGAGAGAGAGATAATAATATGATAATAATCCTGGCCTCTTGGTGTCTGAGCCAGACTGAGAGACGAGCCTGTGCCCGGCACATGGAGACCCCTGGCTGGTGATGCCCCCTGACTTGGAAGAAAGATGTTGTCACCCGCGTCAAGTCCTGGAGCTCAGTGGTTCGAGCTCTCGCCTCGCAAGCGAAAGGACCCGGGTTCGATTCCCGGGCGGGTCAGGGCGAAACTTAGCGGTAAGTAGGAAGGCGGTTGTTAGTCGATTGGAGGATCGCTTTTCCGGGGGTAATAATCCCTTCAAAATAAATAAAAATAATTTGGTCACTCAATCAGCTTGTGGGGACGTCGCTGGGCGCAATTGTCTGCCGCGTTTCGCCCACAAAGCACGCCATCAATTCACTTTACAGCATATCCTGTGAAGCGCTTTGAGACATCTCGAAGGTGTGATAAGGCGCCGGGTCAAATGCGAGGATTATTATTATTATTTATCCATTAGGAATAGGAAGTTCTGAGAGCCGAGCAGAGACGAAGCAGTAACGGTGGGAATCTTACTCACAGGGAACCCCAGTCACTGCCAGGAGAGGGTAGTAAATGGATTGAAACTGAGCCATCCTGTGCGACTGAGCCATGGCAGAGAGGAGCCGAGGGTGAAAGGAGACACCAAGAATCAAGACGTCCTCATTTATCTCCCTGACAAAGCCCCGGGGAGATCTTGTCCCAGGCCCATGTTACACACACCTACATTAACAAACAGTTACACAACACCTTGTACCTCATACCCAGGGGAATCGGAGGTCTCAGCCTGGCTCAGTCTCTCACACTCGCTTCCGAGTCAACATGTTGTAATTAGCAGCTCAGGGAATAGACAGCATATGTTTTGTCCCCAAAATACCAAGTCTCTACAATTTACAGTGTGTCCTGTGAAGCGCTTTGAGACGTCTCGAAGACGTGATAAGGTGTTGTATCAAATGTAAGGATTATTATTAACATGGCAGCAAATCATCGCCCGGATCCCGGCCTTCTGGTTAAATATGTGAAGGTTTTATGAGGACCCTCATGATTTGGGGCCCGTATTTTAATCCAAAACCCCCTTTTCGAGGGGCCAGTCAGCCACGAGGTCAGGTTAGAGCAGTCGATCAAACCGCGGAGACCGTGTGATACAGAGAGAGGCCGTTCTGACCATTGTCCACTGTGAGGTGACGTTGATAGATTGTTGGTAGGTCAGGGGTTTGAGGGATATGGGGCAAAACGATCTAAATAAATGGCAGAACAGGCTCGAAGGGCTGAATGGCCTCCTCCTGTTCCTACGTTTCACGTTTGCTCCTCTCAGATGCCCTCCATCCTAATCTCAATCCACGACTGTTTGTGGGGCGCTGATCTGTGCAATTGGCTGCTGCGTTTCACCCACCTCAAGAGTGTGAGGATAGATATTTGTTAGGTCAGGGTGACTGTGACCTGGTAACCCCTTATCAACCGCCTGCTCCCTCCGCTCTGTGGGCTCCACGTCCTACCATCCCTCGCCTGCTTCAAGGTCCATCTCAAGTCCCTCCTCTGCTTCCACCTCCGACGCATCGCCCGTCTCTGCCAATACCTCACTCTAAAAGCCCCTGAAACCCTGGTTCATGACTTTGTCACCTCTCGGATGGACTCTTCAAAGGCCCTCCTCGCCAGACTCCCCTCCACGACCATCCATAACATCCAAGTCATCCAAAACTCATTCTTACCCGCACCAAACTCCGCTCCCCGATCACTCCAGTCTTTGCCCGACTGCACTGACTGCCTGTCCCAGAGAGGATCCACTTCAAGATCCTCACCTTGTCTTCAAATCCCTCCACTCCTCTGCACCCCCCGACCTCTCTCCTCACAACAGTGCCCATTGCCTTCGTTCCCCGGGTCTGGCCTCCTCCTTGTCCCCCGAGTCCTCTGCTCCACCCTCGGCGGCCGTGCCTTCAGCCACTGCGCCCCGAGGCTCTGGAACTCCCTTTCTCACTCCCTTCGCCTCTCCCCCTCTCTTCCTATTTTCAGGTCTCTGCTGAAGACTTTCTCTTCGATCGCACCTTTGGTCATATTCCTCCCCATCCCCCACCCCCTCCCCCCTCCTCTTGGCTCCTCCCCTCCCCTGGCTCCTCCCCCCCCTGGCTCCCCCCCTCCCCTGGCTCCTTCCCTCCCGTGGCTCCTCCCCTTCCCTGGCCCCTCCCCTCCCCTGGCTCCTCCCCTCCCTGGCTCCTCCCCCTCGCCTGGCTCCTCCCCTCCCCTGGCTCCTCCTCTCCCCTGGCTCCTCCCCTCCCCTGGCTCCTCCCCTCCCCTGGCTCCTCCCCTCTCCTGGCTCCTCCCCCTCCCCCTGTCTCGGCCCCGGGATCCGTTACTGTGAAGCTCTGAGACGCCGTCCGGCGCGGAGGGCGCTATATACATCCAAGTTGTTGTTGTTGTCCTGGTGTGAAAGACCCCGTGTAAATGTAATTTTGTATTATATTGAGGTGTACGGGGTATGGGATATAATTGGACTTGAGGTACAGATCAGCCATGATCTTATAGAATGGCAAACAGGCTCGAGGGGCTGAATGGCCTCCTCCTGTTCCTATGTTTCTATTAACATACAGTCAATTCACTTGGCAGTTTACCCTGTGAGGAGCTTTGATACGTCTCGAAGAGATTACAAGGTGTCGGGATTATTATTATTTATTATTGATAAGGCACTATATCAAATGCAAGGATTATTATTATTATTATTATTATTATTTGCCTGGCCCTGTTCTATCTCATTCCACCCACTGTGTGGCTCCGTGGCTTAGTTGGTTAAAGCGCCTGTCTAGTAAACAGGAGATCCTGGGTTCGAATCCCAGCGGGGCCTGACCAGGAATTTTTAAATCTCCTGAAAAGAAAAGGCTGTATTATTGGGAAGGAAATACTGTTGAAACTGCCGGGATATTTCTCTCAGTTTCTCTCAGCCATTCGTTTCTCAAACGACCCTCTCAATCGACCTTGCAATTTTATCAACCAGGGAAACAGCTTCCCTCCAGGTGGATAGATTGCGGTTATCTTGCTTCGAACAAACAAGGTTAACTGGTTGATGTTATTGAAGCGCGTGAAATAATTACAACGACAACTTGTAACGTGTATGGATCCCTCACCCAGGGAAGCGTCCAAGAGCGCTTGACAGTGGTGGAGCAGAGCTTGGCCATTGATATCACTATCTTGCCATTGATATCACTATCTGGGCCAAGCTTGCCCTCTGCTTGCCCAGCTATGACCACCGGGCCCGTTAGAGCTTCGGTTTGCAGGGTTAACAGTGAAAAGATTCCCTGTCCCCAGTTCTGGCTCATCAGCAGAACCTGGAATGGCAGACCAGTCACTGGGGGCAAGGAGTCATCCCGCTCCTTATCACATTGTTGAGAGCTTAATAATAATAATAATCCCTTCATGTGATACAGCGCATCGCATCTTTGAGATGTCTCAAAGTGCTTTACTGAACACACTGAATAGAAGTGTCGTGACTGTGTATTTTGTGGGCAATACGAGGCAGCCAATTGTGCCCCGGCAGTGTCCCCCACAAACAATTTCCGTGTAAAATTCGGTATTGCATTTTTTTTAAATGTAAAAAGGTTTAAAAAATATTAAATAACGACAGTGAATAATCAACACTGATAGGAACCATCACAAGTCCATGTTCACCGCTTTTATTTGCTCGAATTATATAACCACGGTCAATGTACAAATCCCACCCCCCAACGCCCCACACAATGGTGAAGTAACCCACGTGATAGTCAAGCATTGGGATTGGCGTCATAGACTGAGCGATTGGGAATACGCCTTATGGATGTGGCAGAAGATGGCGGAGAGAGGGGGAGTGGGTGGAGGGTGGGATGTGTGGGGGAAAGAGAGATATAGAGACGTCTCAGTTTTGCTGGGGGTAGATATCTGAGGGACTAACAATAACAGTGCCTTTGGTCTCATACTTCATAGTGTTCCAGTCAATCACGTTGCCTCTGGGATTGATGGATTTCCTGCTGCGTTGCCTGATCTCACTGGGAACCAGGATGTAATCCCACAGATGGATGTCAGTCATCTCCCCAATAAAGCACTCTTTCTTCTGGAACCCCCCCTGTACGTTGTCCTGATCTTGGCCCAATATGATGACTCCGCCCGCCTCCAGCGTGCGACCGGTCTGGTACTTCTTACGGACGCTGCGAGTGCCGTTGACCCACAGGGCGGTCATCCCGGTCTTCGACTCCCAGGTGACGCACAGGGGTGTCCATCCCACCTGAGCCATGGAGGCGTCAAAGAGCACGGGAGGTCCCGAAAGGTGGAGGCTGAACTTGCCGTTGGTCTCCCTGCCCAGGAGCAGCTCGTTGTTGTGGTTCTGGGTGGCGTAGGAGAAGATGGAGAGGACTCCGCCAGCGTCCGTCAGGATCTTGGCGCAGAGGGTGAAGGCGGTCAGGCCCATGGGCTTATTGGGCTGCACCTTCACGTAGCTGTCGTCTGTCTCCATCGGGAAGTTCAGCGACTGCATGAGGAGCCCTGGGCACAAGACCAGCATCAACACCAGGTCACCCTCAGCACCGGATCGCCGACGATCAAACCGGTTACCAAACCGTCAGGTCAACCGGGTCAACAAATCAAACGGTTATTCAATTATCCCCCAATCGACTGACAAGCGGGTTCCTACCGACAGAGGCGTTGGTGCGTGTGTGTGTGTGTGTGGAGTAAGGAAACTTGCCCAACGTTTCGCCCTGAATCGCCCAGGAATCGAACCCAGGTCCTCTCGCTTGCGAGGCCAGCCCTCTGATGACTAAACAACAACAACTTCCATGTACATAGTTCCCCCCCTCACGCGGGCTGGTGTCCCTCAGCTACAGAACTCCACAGATCACCAGATCGCAAGGTTGTTCTGGAGGACGAAGACCCTTCAGCCTCGCCCCCGGTTACTGTGACGGTGACTCACCTTTGCTGAATGCGGCAGATGCGGCCATGATTATCGCCAGGAAAATCACAAGTGTCTTCATTGTGGTTTCTGTTAAGAATTTTGAGAGTCAGTGAAAACAGGACAACGCGAGAGAGAGAGAGAGGAGAGAGATCCATCACCCCACACACCCCCATGTCAGTAACAAATTATCATAACCCTTACATTTGGCACAGCCCCTTTCACATCAGGAGGACGTCCCAAAACTCTTCACGGGATTTATTGTAAAGTGGAGTGACTGTGCGTTTTTGTGGGCAAACATGGTGGCCAATTTTGCCCACTGTGATGTTCCCCCCAAACATTCATGAGGTGAGCGAGAGATCTTATCTGGGGGATATTATTGACCAGGACACTAGGGGAAAGAGAGAGAGAGACTCCCTTCTCTTTTCCCGACAGCGTCTCGAAAGATCGTGGGGCTTGAACCCACAAAGTACTGAGGCGAGTGCGCAATCAAGTGAGCCAGGCTGGCACAAGGACTCAAGGCACAAAGGAAGGATTTGGAGATGGAGAGACCTGGCGAGGTGGTGGGGGTGTGGCGAGAGACTCCAGGATGGAGGGATTCTGAGATGTATTTCCAGAGAGCAGAAATGGCTGAAAGTGGGACTCACTCCCACCTCAGATCATTAACCCACAGGATATTTAACACATCCCCCAAGCCGGCATCTGGAGCTGTCACCAGTGCTCAATGAACGAATGGCACTAGGTATCTGAGAACCAAACAAATCCTGTCAAAGCAGAGACAAAGAGGGTCTTACCAAGGGTCCCAAACCAAACAGGAAGCAAGAGCAGAGTCTCCACACGCTGCCTCCTGCAAGCGAACAGTATTTATATGCAGCGGGAGATCACCCATGTCAACAGGAACCAGTCAGGTCCAATTAACGTAGTCATGTGAGAATGGAGACTGGCCATTGAGTGGAGAGATGGAGAGAGGACAGGTTCCATGAGCACATGTGCCAGGTTCTCGTGTGTAGCTCCAAAGCTCAGGTCTCGGTCACCCTGGGGGCGATGAGCTAACTCTGCCAATGTCAACAGCAAGAGGCCGACTGCCTGTTGACTGATGATCAAGGCACTAATCCATCCTAACAGTCCACCCCAACAGATCTGTAGGAAGACATTGTAGGAAATGTATGGCTCCCAAGGGGTCTACCCCTCTCCTTAGGCCTAAGGCCGGGGAGAAGGCATAGCTACGTTTCCTTACTGCGGACGCACACCTCTGCTTAACTCGCAGTAAGTAGGAACCCGCTTGTTAAGTTAATCTGCGGATGGCTTTTTGGAGAGTAATGAATAATCCCTTCAAAATAAATAACAACAACAGCTTGAATTTATATAGCACCTTTCCTGTGGGGTAGCAGCCTGGAGTGCTTGAATGACTTAACGAATGAATAAACAAACAAACAAACAAACAAATAATGATAATTTGGCCACTCAATCCACGACTTTTTGTGGGACACTGCTGTGCACAATTGGCTGCAGCGTTTGGCCCCCGATATGCGCAGTCACTACACTTTGCAAAATATTCTGACATCTCAATGACGTGATAAGGCACTGTATCAAATGCAAGGATTATTGTGATGGAAACGGTGAAAGCAGAACATGTTGATTCTTTCCAAAAAAGCGCATTTAGGTAGATTTATTTCAGGAAATAATCTCTGCGCGACCCGATGTGTCAAGCGACTGTCAGGATGGTTGGAAGGCGGACTAGATTCATCAGGCTCCGGCCTGCTCCATGTCTCCCCCCCCGAACCCGCCCTACCATCGGTGGCCGGGCTTTCAGCCTCTCTGCCCCCACACTCTGGAACTCCATCCCACGATCCCTTCTCCTCGCTTCCTCCCTTCCTCCTTCAAGGCCGGTCTCAAGACCCTTCTCTTCGTCCGTGCCTTTGGTCTCCCTCCCACCTCTTTGCCTTCACTCACCCGTACCACCCCTCCCCCCATGCTCGGGCCCCGACACCTGACTGTTCAGCGCTTTGGGACGTCCTCCCGACATGAAAGGCGCTCTATAAATGTAATTTTGTTGTT